TATTAAATATTTACGGCCCCACTACCAACCGTATACGTATATATACATATTATATACTATATATGCGTACGACAGAGTGGAAAAGTCGGGAGGAGAAACAGAGATAGAGTGAAATGGTGAGGGTGACGTTCGCGGAGATCGAGAAGGGTGAAAAAAGCGTACGTAAAGCGTTTTCGGGTTTCCGGTCCGCCCATTGGCCAATGGCAAAGGGTCCTACAGGAACCTCCACGCGGCACATGCGTCATTCACCACCACTCTGACTTCTCTCTGGCAATACACGGTGGTGGTAGAAAGGATTTTTGACGGGGGCCCAAAAAAAATCAAAGTATGCGCCGTCGTGGGGTGGCTCCAACGGGGACAATTTCAAATATTTACGAAACCCACGAATTCGGCACGCTTCAACGCGGCAAATAAATAAAAAATTTTCTTCTTCATCACATAAACCGAATGAGTAAATAGGATTAGAACTCACGTAACGAGAACGTGTGCAGTGCAATACGATATTGTAATACAGTCGTCTGGGTTAAAAATAAAACTAATGGTGAAAGATTCATCGACTATTGTATTAATCTGTAACCTTACAAACTATACTATAATATAATACTATTTGTAGCTAGTACAATTATAGCAGGTATAGAGAAATTATTTGAAGTCAGATTTTTCTCGTTCACACTTTCGTTAAAAATCACACAATCGAAACTTAAAATCATTTTTTTTTCTTATTGTTATGCGCGTTTATTTAATTTTTGCTGTCTCTTTCCGGCGTCGGCGGCGGCGGTGGCAATTGTGTGCAATAATATCATAATATTATGCAAAAACAGATAGAGATAAAATAGCATAACATAATAATATACAAGAGGATAAAAAGATGAAAAATCAGACTCCGCGCCAATGTGGTCGACGGGGGTGTGCGGGGTCAACGGTGGGGAGGTGGCCGTCCCCACCGCGCAAATCCCTTTGTCCCGCCCACCGGCGGCGGCGGCATATAGGCACCACGACGACGACACGGCCGCCGCCGCACATAAGCCACCCCGGCCGGTCGTCGGCGACGGATACACATATTGTGCACGTCGTCGCGCGCGCACACACGCACACCGTTAGTCGTGCTCGTCATCGTCTCGTCTTCTCGTTGTCTCTAAGTCTCGTAATCGTCGTCGTCGTCGTCGTCTCACATCGCATTCGGTCACAGGACTCACTACCCTTCCACCTCAAAATTATACTGCACCCCCCCGCGACTCGTGTTTGCCGCGTGCGTGTTATGTGCCGGCATGGTGTTAGGCGGCGATTCCGTTGTCGGTGAACTCGGCGCGGCCGCCACCAAACTGGATCCGTCTTGCAATATAGGACTGTTCTCCGCGCTCAGGCCGGCCATGGACCTGTCGACGGCCGCGTACCGGTACAACCAGAACATGATGGAATACTACACGTGTAAGTACCGCAGCAACCGAGTGTCTATGACGTTATAGTTTCTCAACGGCGCGTACACGCCGGGAAATAAACGCTATCGTAACTTCGTAGATCCTTTATCGTCGTCTCTCGTTTCGTTTGCATAATCAACTGCACTAATAACATAATAATTATTAGATAATATGTATAAAACTACTCGTCTGACATATAATACTTGAGCGCAAAAATACGTTTGACAGTATGTCCGAGCGTAGGTTCGTTCAAAACGTAAAATGCCAAAACGTCAACGATCCTTTCGTCTGTTAGGAGGCAATAATATATCGTATAGTATAGTCGTTGCACTGTACCAGCGCAATATTGCGCGCAGGCATTGTGACAACACTCGTATTGTGATTCAAGCGCAAACACGCATAAGCGTGGTGTATTAATTATATGTGACGTACACTTAAATATTTGTCGACGAAAAATGTCATATTCCAGCACCGTCTGATGTTAGTGCGCCCGCGATTACGTTGTTTTCATCAACTACTTAGCTGAAGACCTTTATTATTAGCTTAAAGCTTAAACATAATATTGACTTTGGATCGTTTCATTGATCGAATCGATCATTTGTGGTCTATAACACGCGATTATTCGTGCGCGCACTACAATTAATACAATCGTGTGTTGCCCAATGATTGTCGAATGTCCGTCAACCGGGAAGACGGCAATAGTGATGTCTTACCCGAAATATTGTAGTGTATTTGTTTTAATTCTGCCGTAGGTACACGAGCACCAATTAGCCGGAAAAAGCGCTCGGGCTTGATTGGCACAACAATAATACTACGTGTGCAACTCTCCTGGCACGATATTTGGTACCGTCCAATTAAGATTTCTTCTCGGTCCATTCGAGTAGACGACAACGGCTCTCGATTGTCTTTTTTGTATCCCAAAAATAAAAGATTTAATTAACCACATATTACCAAAACTGCCGCTGTATGTGGAGAGCACAGTTGAAGCTATTTTTGTTGTTCATCGCTTTTCTGCGTTTATCATGCCCGTACGTTTAAATTTAAATTTTATTAAAACTTTTAAAATTGTTCAGGCTTTACTTATAATTAAAAAACAAAAATAAAATTGCTTTTTTCGTTAATGTATTAAACAATACATTAACATGTCATATATACAGAAAAGAATGATGAATGTATTGTTTTATACATTCATCATTCTTTTCTGAATAATTTAATAATATTGTACAGCTTTTAAAAATTCAAAGAAACTGGTAGATTTGTCGTTATGTATTATTTGATTTCAAGTACAAAATAGAAAGTTTAAACAACCGATATTAAGAATATTCTTTTTTTTTAATCCAGTAAGTAACCGAAGTAATTCGTTGTAATATCAATAATGATATCAACATGATTATATTTCAAATACGGGGCCACCAACATACACATTGCATACACGTCGAGTGGTGTGTGCGCGTGGCCCTTTAATCGACACTCGATTCTATAGGGTAGTTTCATTAAAAGCAACAAGGGCGAGTAATCCCAAAGGGCCAAACACTCTTAACAGGGATAAAACTACAATCTCCGTGTTGGAAAAGTTACTGATTGTTTTCGCAACAAAAACCAATCCAATGTGGGCAGTTTATCTTTTAATGCACACTACATGGTGTGTTTTTTACGTCTATATCAACCACTGGAGTACACGTATTTTATTATTTTATTTTTTTAAATTGAATCGTACACGCGACTCGAAACGGCAACGATGTAAAGTTTTGTTAGAGATAGCTGCAGACGCTGCAGTACCTAAAAAATAAATTTAATTAAATTCACATCATTCGTTATACGGTACAATATATTGTGAGTACAATATTGATGTATATTATACTTATCTTATGCCTATTCTTGTTTTAACATTTATCAACTATTCCGGTTCTCTACGTAATTTTGCAGGATTTTTTTAACGTCAAAAATAATTTAGTGTTATATAAAATTGTGTTGTATAATTATTATAAAGACGACTCGCTTGATGTACCGATACCGCCGCGGTGTAGTTACGCGAGGTCGTGAGTCAAGGGCCCTTTACCGAATAAACATTGCAGTTGTGTAAGCCGCGGTGTAGAGGTACAGGTATATTATTTACACGTATAAATATAAATTAGCGAAGGTTTATTGTTTTCACGGCGGTGCGGAGACTCGAGAGCCACAACATGTCGACCCTTAATAGCTACCGCCCTCTTAACCCCGTCGTCGGTACTTGAGGATAATCTGCTTAATTCGTCGGCCGACCCCCGCAAAGCCCCAAATGAGATTATCTCGTTAGACCATCTGATACGCGCGCACACGTCTGCGGGTAGTTTTGTTTGTAATCGTAAACGCCACGTACCACACCCACAAACACCCACAAACACACAAATATCTACACACACGCGCGCGCCCGCCGTTCTAACGACCCAGCATGATAGATTTTTCGTAGGATATGCATTATTATTATTAGTATATGTGCGGTATTATATTATTTTGTCGGCCGGCCAAACCGGACCTTTTCACACTTTTGGTCCGTCCGATTCGGACCGTACGCCGACCGCTACTCATTTATTGTGTGCTCGTTGTAAACAAAATGATTGTATTAAACCGCCGCACGCGCCCTCGCACAATGCAGGCAGATGTTTTAATTAAAACGACGAGCTTTAATTATTTACCCGCAAATAGGAGCTCAATAATAATAATACCGTAGGTACGTTATTAATAGTCATTTAATATTGTGTGCATATCGCCTATTACGGATACCGCCGCAAATATTGTTTTTCCGTACGCCGCGGTAAACTGAAAAATCGAACATTATTACTTATTAGCCATCGCCCATCACTCATAGCCGTTTCCGCCGTCAATCTTCGAAACATTGTCGTCGCGGTCCCGTAAATATTATACCGCGGTCGCGGTAGCACGACGTATGTATAACATCGTCGCGTCTAGAACACGTCGCGATGATGGGGATAATAGTCGTCGCAGTGTAACGATTTCGTGTGAAGTGGACGTTCGGAATGTATATTATATACCTGATATTATAATATTTTAATACGTATAATATCATAATACTTGCGGGTAGAAAACCGGGACAATACGTGATTGTGGTATATATATATATAATAATAATAATAATACATGCATACGCGCTACGATCGTTCGGCGTATAATGATACTTAGGCGTATGTGTGTAACAATTATCGGTTTTTGGTGATTTTTTTTTTTATACTCAACGTTTTGCGGTGTGGTAAAAGATACATATTATAATATAAAATATGGTGTGCGCGATAATAACCTGTGTAAATACGCGAAGACGGCGCGAACAAAAGAATAACGCGTTGATCGAATCGTCGTGTACCAATACGGTTATACTCGTGTTGAGGTACCTATACAATAATATTATTATGTATATAATACGCGATACGTATTATTATTATTGTCCCCGCAGTATGATATATTGTAATACATATAGCTAGTATAATATAATGTTTAATACTTGAAATCGATCCTTTTGTTTTGTATCTTCGCCAAGGCTATTTAACGAGTACACGCTAACAGATTATTATTTATTGTCGTTCGCAGGTCACGGCGGTGTAAATCAACTGGGCGGAGTGTTCGTAAACGGCCGACCGTTACCGGACCTGGTCAGGCAAAGGATAGTCGAACTGGCACACAACGGAACCCGGCCGTGCGACATATCCAGACAGCTTAGAGTCTCTCACGGATGCGTTTCGAAAATCTTATCCAGGTAATAATTATTACAACGATAGAAAATTGTTAATTTTTTCCAGTTGCTTATGCACTTATGTGTATTATACTACTTAATACACCATTCGATTGTTCTGAGATTTCGTGCCGTAAAAATACTAAATATTCTGCAAGCCCGCGGCTTCGAGAGCTCTACTGAGCTTAATAAATTCTAACGTATAAACGTATATTTTTAGTATTCATTACACCAGAATCATTTTCATAAATCTAGTTACCTCTACTGCTACATCGCATTAAAAAAGTTCTAAATACTTGGATGTACCAAGAACAAGCCGATTATTATGCATTCGATTAAAAACCTTTTAAAATAAACAACCAGCTACTTTTTGTGATCCTATAAGGACGATTTCCTTTCTTTTCTGGTATTCATATTTATTTTTTTAGTAATGTTCAATTCAATATATGAAACAATTACTATAGAATACCGGAACCAAGATAATGGATCTACTCTTTCGAGCCTCAACCGCAACCGATGTCCGCGGGTTTTTCCCCCGCTTCCGGTTCTTCCTGGGACAATATCGTCCCTGTATAATATATTTATATACATTTATATTGTATTTGTTTTTTTTACAAACGTACCCTAATAAAATAGAGAAGGTCGTAAAAACCATGTCGCCGCTATTAATTTTTATGTTACTCTCCCGTTCTCTCTCACCCGTACATTCTATACGCGAATCTTTTTGCCATTTATTTTTTTTTGTTCGCGGAAACGGGTTACGCGTGCTGGTATATTACATGCATTATGCATTAAGGCACAAGTGGACCTACCAAAAAAATATCAAGTACGCAAACTTCATATTGTGTCTATACGCATAACACAATACAAGCGTGTATATTATTTCACGATAGAAATACCCCAAATTCGATTTAAAAATATAAATTGTCTACACATAATTTATATGATAATACACCGTAATCAAACGCGTTTGGTTTTCAAGTATACAATCAATGTCATGCGTAATATTTTCACGCTATTAATAAGAATCGTCATCAAAGTTATTCGTATGCATAATAATAATATGATTGCGATAAACTTACGTTATGGGTGCTCGTATAATAGGTATGTACGTGTCAGCCAATCTCAACTGTTAGAACTCGATTGAAACCCGGCGGAAAATAGTGTTTGTTCTACTATCAAAAATAATTTAAATATCATATTTCATACACATTTTCTGAAATTACAGCGTAATTTCAGAAGTTTTATTGTATAAATTAAATAAGTTCTGATAAAATTATGTTAAAAGTTCAAAAATGCGTGCATTTCTGTACCTGCAAGTACCTATATATTATTATACGTATACGTATATTAACAACGACAAAAAAATTAATTTACAACAACCGCGGCGAGAGAACCTGCATACTCGTAAATATAATCGAAAACTATTTCTCTCTTTTATTTTATTTTTCTTTTTTTTTTTGTATTTTAAATATAATATACTGCCACTGCGTCGTATTATATTATACGTAAACCGCTCAGTGTATCTCCCATCCGATCCGTTTCTTCCGCCGCCGTCTCTTGTCCCTCGGTCGCTGCAGACTCTGTCGCAAGTTTCCACCCGACGCGAGTTTTATAATAACATTAACCGCGGCCGCGTGTATTATATCCGTGCGGCGGCTTCTGGGAAGTGTCACCGCTTGCGCGCGCGTGCCCAGGCTAAGTGCAAAATTGAGTTAACTATATACGCGCGATCACGCGGTGGTGTATAATACGGTTTTAGTTCGGTCGGCGGTGGCAGACCTATAATAATAATAATAATAATAATAATAATATACGCGACGAAATTATTATATTGTGTATGGGGTCGGCGGTACGTATATATATATATATATATATGCATTTATAGACCACGGAGGCAAAAACAACCGTGAAAAATCGCTGTATACGCCCGTCCCGCGAACAATGATTCTCGATTATATTATATATTATTAAATATGATTTCTAACACACGCGCGAAAGGGTTGCCCGTCGACGGGCACCGTGTATAATATTGATAAATTCGTGAAAACCCGACGATGATACATCCCACGGCGGTTTCGAATCGAAATTTTCGATCCGCTCGCGCGTCACATAATATTATAATGTGCGTATTAGGTGCGATGATGTTTTATTTTAATACGTACTATTATACTAATTATCGTGCCCGAACGTATGTACGCGAAACAATATTAATTAGTAATTGTATCACATGAAGTTTTAGTGATGTGTATATATATATATATGTATATAGGTGTCGCCAAATGTGAAATACACTGTTGCTCATAAAATATAATATCTTAACAATACGATATTAAACACTATAATTTTTTATCCGTTGATTTTGTATGAAAATGTGCTCATACGTATTTTTATTCGGTATAGTATATACTATACACTACGATAATAATATTATAATACGTATATCGTGTGGCGGTAGCGCAAACGACGGCTGGTGACCTGGTCGACGGCTGGTTCGGTTCCGACGGGGGAGGGGTGGGGGTGAATTAATAATCGTATCTCGCGCCGACCGCGCGTCCAAGAATAATATATTATTTTTGAGTCGGTGAAATTTTTCGGATAAAAAAATGACTTAAAACTCTTTGTGATATGCATACACCGGATCGTATTTTCGACTCTCGTGATTTTGGCTCAGGTGTAGACATTGACAAACTGCTATGTACTATAAATACCACTTTAGATACGGAGATTTTGGGGTCGAAAAAAATACACCGCTTTAGAAACACAGTTCTAATTTAACGACTCGTTTGTTCCAATTAAGCTGCTCTGAACTTTGCGTTTTTAATGCGTTGAGACAATATTGTCAACACGATCACTGCGGCGTGTTAATTGAACCGTTCTAATAGCAAGCTGGCTAATTTTCCCTAGCAGTTATGGCTTTTTTATTTATTTTTTTTTTTTTCAAGTTTTGTACATTATTTTCAATACTTGGACTAAACAGCGTCAGTAATATTAACATTTCACCGTGTTCCACGCCCGGCATGCAAATACTTTTCAGCGTTGTTTTTAAAAGCACCGGAAACAATGGTCGGACCTACATGAATAGACTAAAATCTGCATTTTCTATAAACTATACGCGGGACGTAGAAAGGACGAAAAAATTACAATCTTCCAAACACAATGATAATATATAATATTATGTGTGTGTCTGCGTATATTATTACTATAATAAATAAACACTATATAGCTCCTTTGTTTTAAAACGGGATCGTGTCCCGGAAGTAGGGCATCTTCATATGCATATAATGACCAACGGTCATTTTCCATATCCTGGTGATATGACCACCGTCGCGGGGAGAAGGCCTTTCATATGGTAAAAAGGATGCATTGTTTTTTTGCAGCACTCAGAGATGTGCCTTTTGCGGAAAACCAAATGCGGTGATCACGAACTCATAATATGCGTGTTCACCACTACAATCATATAATAATATAATATAATGTAATATTATATTATATGTTATCGAATATTAAAATTTTTCTCATTTTCAGGTATTATGAAACTGGTAGTTTCAAAGCCGGAGTTATCGGAGGTAGCAAACCCAAAGTGGCTACGGCGCCTGTTGTAGATTCCATAGCAAACTACAAACGAGAGAATCCTACTATGTTTGCTTGGGAAATCCGAGACAGACTGTTGGCAGAAGGCGTTTGTACTCAAGACAACGTACCCAGCGTTTCGTCAATAAACCGGTAAGCAACATTTATTATTTTAAAATACACGACTATAGTGTAAATATCAAAGTATATTATAACTCAGAGTACTAAAACATTAATAAAGTAGATATTTGAATTATAAATAAAACAATTGATTAAAGAAAAATAAAAATTTTACTTTGGATTTTTAAAATTAGGTTATGTTAGTTTTCAAAGTTTATTAATATTTGATTATTTTTTTTTATTATTTTTTTTGAATAACGCTAATATTAATATCCCATTTGTCAAAAATATTGTTTTATTCCCTTTATTTTAAATTCAACAACTTGTTTGATTAAGATAAAGACCACTGGGTTATTACAGTAACTTGATCGAGGGGCCATTAGAGATTACATGATTAGATGGTGATAGAAAGCAATAACAATAAAAGGGTGTAACGCCCGGGGATTGGAATATGAATGGGGGAGGGGGGCTGGTAGTGTATGTTTTTATTAATCGCAAAGTAGCAGAAGCGACTGCACCCGTGGGATTCGATAGCGATTTAATAAAATTCCTTGCCAATACTACACAATAATAAATATACGTATGTAAAAATATAAGCGCCTGAAGCAAGAACATTTACTATGTAGCCAAGAAGCGGATAGCGCTATACATATGCCGACAAGTGTATCTATATCTAATGAAAGTATAAACATTTTTACTTTTGAAGTCCAACATGGTTGTACAATTTGTCGGAGATGTTAAAATTACTGTCCGATTAATAACGAAAATAGTAGATCAGCTTATAATATATAAGTAACTAATAAATAATATATGCGAACAAATCAAAAGTGAATTTATAAAATTCGTCATGGAACTAAGAACTAAGAAGGATCTACAGTGAAAACGACAACGGGAAATTACGTAACAATTTCTTGACGTCGAGAAATTTCCAATTCAAATTACTGATAAAAACCAATACCTACTATTATATTATTTATATATATGTATTAATTATATAAAATAAAATAAAACTAATATCACTCGTAAAAAATAAAATACTGATAATATTTTTGTGAATATACGAAACAAAGTTAAAAAACTTTTCGAACAATTACATAAAAATTAATTTATACTTCGCTTTATTGTTTAAATAAAAATACATATCATATCATACAACGTATATTTATAGTATTTTAAAAATAATTATTAACGTTCATCAGGAAATAATTTTGTATTCTATGATAAAATACTTACTGGCATTGTAAAAATATTCAAATATTTTTAAGTCTAATAAAAAATAAAAAAAAATTTAGAATTTAATCGTTACAAAATTATATGATATTATTCATTATTGTAATTATTAACAATACTAATGATATACGTCCAATCAAGTATAAAAATACTCATGAAAACACCCCTTACTGTAACTCGATACATGATAAAATAATGTTCGTCGACGTTGTCTATTTAAAATATTCAGTGCTGAAAAAATAAAACCAGGACTAGACCTTTGAACGTCGAATAATACATAACACATTACAATGTTTAAGCTTCACTAAACTCGCATTGTTATCGATCATCGTCGTTGTCGTCGTCCGAGGCTGTTAATCATTGACGGCCAGTCGAAACGGAAAGACCGGCGGCGGCGGCACATCTGTTATGCTGCAAAAATCATCGGGTCGTGTTATTATTATTAATATCATTATCTTCATAAAGTCGCGCGGAAACGCGCAACCTGTTGTGTGCATTTTTCACACCCTCGCACTTCATGTCAGAGAGGTCTTTTTATTCCAGTGGCGGGCGCGCGCCCCGAGTGTATATACAGTTTATACACACACTCAGTGTACACACGCGTACATACGGCTATTTATCATTTCCGTGCGATTGAGTCGAAAAAGGCTAATCTGAAAACGATAACACTCTGTGCACGGAATCGTGATGACTCGATGACTCAATGACCCGTCCCTCGCTTTTAACGACGCGCACCATCCGAAAATCACATTTCACAGTGGCGAGTTTCTATGTAACAGCAACAGTAGTGGCGTAAGGCGTTCAAATCGAGCGCGAGCGAACGAGTCAAAACACCACATGCACGACGTTGACACGTTGCTACATCGTACAAACAAATATCATAAACAAATCGTACGAGTGATACAGTCTTATCATCAACAAGTATAGGTAATACAACAGTCGACAACACTACATGGTCACAGGAGCTGTTTTGGCGGACACGATCGAATATGGCTAGAGCATATATAATTGTGTGTGCGTAAAAGAAAACGAATGCAAACCATGTATAATGTGTACAATACATATATATATATATGTGTGTGTGTGTGTGTGTGTGTGTGTGTGTGTGTGTGTGTGCTTAAAGAAAATAAAACAAAAAAACACTTTTGTCGAACGTAGTCGTATATGTATATACACGCGCACACCGACACGGAAAATGGGAAAAGAAACATGCACTGGATTCTTTGCGATATCGATCTCTCCCTTTTTTTTTCTCTCGACCCTTTGAGCAGCCATTCACCCCCGTCAACGTCTTCTCTTCCAACCCAAGTCACTTTCCTTGACTTCCTCCTTAACGCACACACGCACACACGCACACACATACCCCGGCCATGCAGTCTGCCCGCCGCCTTGCGTTCCAACCGGAAAACTGTGGAAAATTGTACCCCTTTGGAGTTTTTCTTGTGCGACAACATGCCAGAATCTTTGCGCATATTATCAGTCACTATGTAATACCATACAAATGCCGTATGTGCGCTTTACACTGTTTCCATCGGTTGTGGGTTTTCATTACTCGATAATAAAAATAACGCCGTGTCTAATGACAGCGTACTTGTGGTCGAGATGATAATCTACCCCAAAAACTAGCCCTCTCCCCGTTAGAACGCTTGTGAAAATCCAACGACGATGGTTTATTAAATGTGACAAATCGACCGAGGGCGAGGACCGTACATCATCACAAGTAAAATATGCAGTGATCCTAAGATGTTATCAGCATCACATATGTCGGACATGTAGCATTTCAAGCATCGATCTCGTACTACGGCTATATTATGCAGTATCCAATGACAAAGTAACGCGAAAATTGAATTACCATATTCATTATATATTTATATCCCGTGGCGTACAAATATATAGATCGATAGTACCATATTATATTATATAGGTATCTACTCTCGACGAGAGAGCCGAATATTAATATTGGCTCAGTTGTGTTTTTTTTAAAAACTATCGTACGTTTCGTACACGAAAACTGGGCTCTGAGCTGGAGGGGAAAATAATAAAAACACACGTAAGCACAATGGCGTTTTCCAATCTTCCCCACTCCGGTATCCACACGAAAACCGCAGATTTGCCACGGTAAACTGAACCTGCGTCATGCTAAACACTTTAACAACACTATATAACCACAAACGTCACACCACAAAATGTGTCCTATAGTGTCCTATAGTGTCGCAATAATATGGCTGAATGAGTACAACATGCTCGAGTATTAAATTCGTGAAATTTTATTCTTGTACAATACATGAAATAATCAGGTACCTACTATATAGTAATATAGTACACCATTATGTATACATATACTGTAATCTTCCCACTATGTATACTGTAGATGAAATTTATCCGTAAAAATAGTACCTACGATGATCTAATACATACATTATTTTACTAAAAATATTACAAAATTTACAAAATAATTACATATTTTGTCTATTAAATTATATTTTATTTTCAAGAAGTATTTTTTAAGTAATATTGTACTAATATTATGATATTTAACGAAAAATGTAAAAAAAAATCATCTCTCCAAATATAATTAAATACTTTAGATATTAAAAAACAATTTATTTTACTTTTAAACCGGATTACTAAAAATAGACATTGAAATGTTTTTATATCTAAATATAAAATAAATTTAAAATATCATATACTTTATAAAAAATTTATCATAACACACAAAATTTACAATTTACGTTAAGTGCAAAAAAAAATATATTAAAAAAATTAAAATTATGATATTATAGGAACATTTACGCATAATAATTATAGGAGTTTATTTTTAAATTTTTCATAATAGAATATAGCTGTTTCATATTTTTAAAGAAACTAGAACTGAATCGAAAGAACCATTATTAAAATAGAAACCTTTTGAAAAGTATAAAATTGAAACTCTATTAAAGCCGCTATTTAATATTTAATGACCTTAAATAAAACCTGATCTGATACTTAGAAGTTGACGGGTTTTCGCTGTATTCACAAATTATTTTTGATTATAATAAATGCTTTTTATACTTAAATTAATAAGCATTATTAAATTAATAGGTACATTACGATTTCCAACTAAAAAGTAAGAAATAACTAATAAATAATAATAAAATACAAACAAATATTATATTATTTTCTTACAATCAAAATAAGTATAAAATAAATTTTTGTATAGATCTATTAATTGAGTTTTTATTAAATAAAATATTAAAGTAATTATTACCAAAATTTTTACATTTTATATTCATATAGTATTTTACTTTTTAAGTTAAATTAATTAATTAGTAAGTATTACGGTTTTATTCTGATATTAACCAATGTCATTATTTTTAAGAAGCAAAATCTATATTTTTACCTTGATACTTTTAAATATAGGTATCTATTTACATTTAAACCAAACCCACATCATAGAATTAAAACATTTTGTAGTGGTTTTATAGCAACAATAATTTTAATTTATGAATTTTATAATCTAGGTTGATAAATTTGTAACATTTACAATCATATAGGTATATATATTATATATGGTAATTTTATTCTTCGAGCTATCGCCATACCTTATATATATATATATATATATGTATATTATACAATATATATTTCAAAAAATTAGTGTTTTCATTTAAAAAAAAAAAAACAGATAATAATAGGTGTATGAATTATATCTTTAAACTTTATATATGGTTCAATATTATATAACTCATATGAATTTAAAAAACAAAATAAATTATCTGAAAACCTTTCTTTTTGTCTTAACTAATGTGCTAACATGAATGTTA